GAGTTGCTTGCCATAACAGCATACATTAGACCTACAAGTTGATAATTAGTGGCATCTTTCTGATTAATTATCATTAACTAGGCTTCTTTCTTTTACAATTGCATGATAAAAATTAAAGAATCCTATTTGAAATTGTATTCCCTAGAATTATGTCCTGTGATATACGTTAGATCCTTTATGTGTCTATTCTCCGGAGTTCATTATTCAAATCCATAATTATACTGATCTGATAAAAAGCATCTAATGGCTTATTATGACTATTCAATAAAATCAATTTAAAATGAGTTCAGTTTTTAAAAATGATATTTAATAAATCGTAATGATTTATGTTAGTGTATTCTATAAAACAGATAATTATGTTGTTTGAAGCCATTGCTTGTTAATAACAATATTGGTTACAGAATTAATTTGAACTGAGAATTATATTTCCATATACGTTAAGACTAATTGTACCAATTTGACTGTAAAATCCAATCCAAATCAGTATAATTTAATCATTCTGTTTTAATCTTAGCTACTTTTTGACCATTAAAATAGGATTAGTTTAGCTGTAATCTAGATATAATCTGTTTGGAAGATAATCAAGTGCTATAAATGTTTTGTTACAATGAAATACTATGAATAACACAGTAATTACAAGTCTTGATAGTGTTAATGTATAATTATTGAACTGGACTTATATATAATAATCTATTTCTATTTTTAATCTCATAATTTCAGGATACTTTTTAGCCACTCAAAAGAATAGTGCTATTGTTGAGCCTGAGGGGTTACCATAAATACATTGGTTTCCAGGCTAGGAATAGATTTATTAAATGCTAAAATGGTCGATTGAAGCAAAAAAAATGTATATGTAGCACAACTAGGTTGAAAGGAAATACTTATGACATTGTTATTTTTACTTCACAAATAAAAAATATATAAACATGACATATTGGAGCAGAATATTCTTACATTCCAAATTCCATGATTAATAAACAGCAATTCCATCTTAGTTTTGATGTTTCCCTGTCTGTTCAGACAGAGATATAAGCTAGTTTAAAACCACCATTATTTTTAAGCCAGGAAAGTGTCATGTTCATGCAGACTATGTATCATGTTCACACAGACTGTAAGTGATGGAAACTTGCTCAACTATTGTGACATCTACAGTTAATTACATACACACATATAATAAATGCAAATTTTATATTTTAAATTGATGTATATAGACAGAAAAATACAAAAGAACATGATAGCTGTGTGAACTCCTCAAATAAGATGTGGTATAGGTGGTCTAGAAAGATTAAGCATACCAATCATTGGAAAGAAAGTGCTTAAGAGCATCTTCTGCATTAGGCAAGAAAACATTAAAAATAAATTTGTTCAGAAAATTAAACTTGGAACAAGATTAAAGTACCTATTAATTATGATAAATTTGTGGAGGAGTTTTCACCTGCTGAATTCTGTGGTTCTTATGTTTAACATAACTACTAGAACCTGTCAGACATTCAAGAGGTAACTGTAGACAATATTATCAGAGAAGTTTAGAATGGTAGCAGGGACCTTTGGCTTCCAGCCTGACCTCACACACTTACTGATATCTAGATTATACATTCCTAGACAGTCATTCAGCACATGGTTGAGAGGAAGATTTAAGGCAACCTGTAAAATACTTGCCACTTTTCTCTCATTTACAAGGTTTAAGATTTCCTACATGTTGAAAACGCCTGTCACTTTACAACATTCTTGGTGGGTTGTAATCTGGGAAACAGCACATATTATCAAGGGTATTCGTTCTGTTACCGCTACTTTATACTGAGCTACAGAAGCCAAGTGTCATTATTTTTTCCTAACCAAAATAATGATTCATTCAACAAAGTGATTTTTTTTTTTAAAAGACAAAATATTAAAAAAAAAATAGTATGAAATATCATTGGGTGGGTTACAAAACATGAACAGGTGTCATTTTATGGCATCACCAAATGGAATTGTTAACACCCCTTTTCTCTTTCTAATGTTATACATTAAACCAGTTTGTATTTTTGAGTATTCATTAGATGTTTAGAAAGCAAGGTACAGAACAAGCCTCATCTATGTTTGTCAGAACTAAAATACAACACATCAAACTTATTTGAATGTCATGACTTTTATTAGGGAATGTGCTTGCCATATCTTTATTCAGCTGTTTCAACCAATTAAGAAGTTGTAAAAACAATAAAGCAGACCAATTATCTCTTTAAAAGAACCACAATATACATGTTAATTACAAAGAAAGATGAAAATTGTTATGTGTCTATTCATTTCAAGATGAAAGATGAATATAATACAGCATCATATACATGCAGCAGCTGTTTATGGTTGGGAGTATAAATGAAGGGAGAAGATACTCTCGTTAGCATCGTCTTTTCTTCTTTATGTTTTCAAAACCTTATTACATATTTTTTAAGTTCCTTCAATGGTAATAATTGTTAAAAACACTTCAAGAATTCTGTCATATAAATTAGACTTATTTTAGACATTAGAAAAATAATAAAACATATAAATTGTTTAAGTATAAATCAGTAGTTTATATCCAGGCTTGTTTTTATAATATTATGCACGAAAGTAGAATTATATTTATTTTTATCACAAATGCTGTGCTTAACCTTTAATCACAAAATACTAAAAGTTGGACTGGGATAGTCAACTCCCATATATCACTATCAGCTGTGTTTTAATATCTTTCTAAAATACATATTTGAATATAGACCTACACAAGGTAAAATACATATACTGTTGAAGGTTTATATCAGGAGTATCTAACTGCTTCAGTTCAGTTTCGCTTACGAGTCTGTTTATTGTGAATAATTCATCATTCGTTGTCTTTATATCATTTTGATTGATATGAACAGATATTTTATTACCCCAAAAATTCTTGAAGAAATCGGACCATTGTCTTACATCACTGTCAAAATAACATTGTCACCTGATATCTGGTATATTATATCTTGAGGTCATGAAACGGAGAATGGGTTTGAAAGAATTGATTCCGATTTCTGATGGTTTAAAAGAAATAAAACAGTTGTTGTACAATTAATAGAGTATATAAAGTTATAAAATTATTTTATTGTGTACCGTTTGTAAAAGGATGGAATAAAATGGTTAGTGAGCTATGATCCAACGCCTTACTCGTTGAGCTCTATGGCTCCCATAGGATATCGTAGAAAAACACTAGGGATGAATGTAGGGAGCAGGGAGCATTTTTACGACATTGGGAAAATGACCTATTGAAACATTATATATGTAGTACACCTTTTAGAAGATTTTATTGCAAGGAAATGAAAAGAATGAAAACCTAGATATATTCTGGGTTTTGCACTGCTAAAGACTCCTACACTTTAAGCACAGTCACGCATTTTTTAAAGTAAAAATGTTCCAGATTTTAGTCATTAGAAGTTAAAGTCCCCCTCTTTCTCTCTTCCTCCCTGTCTGTGTGCAATCACAGAAACCACATGTTGAGTCGAAAGTACATAATTTTAATTAGAGTGATATAACAGTAATGTAATTAGAATCATTTATTAGAAATAGTCATATAGTCATGATTTACTCCAGTCTTAACACATTATCTAAAACCAATTATTAGTATGTCCATTACATACATATAGTAAATTAGATTCTTTTAAAATCTAACCAGTCAACTGGTGTAGCTGATGTAGATAAAATAACAGGAAATTGCTCTGGAGGAGACTAAGGCTGTGTTCACATAGATATTATACAGACCATACAGGTGTAAATCAATGTTTTTGACAGCATTACAGTATCATCAAAATTTGTGCGGTTGACTAAATGGATTAACCTGTAATATATCATTCAATCTCAAATGTTCTAGCTCTAACATGGATTAAGGATTTATTGTGCTTACATTTTGTTCTACTCAAACCTTTTGATCAAGATCTTACTTTTTTAACCAAAGTATTTGGTATTCAAAGGTAATTCAGAAACAAATCTAATGTGATGGCAGTCTCAATCTACATCCTTTATCTATTGTTTTGGAATTTCAAAATTTTTTGTACCAAAGTGTGGTTCTGAAACCCTTTGCCCCCCCCCCCCCGGAATACACTTATATATATATCGGAACATTTAAGATGGAGGTATATATTTATTCTTTAATTTAACAAACCCCAGACATCTTGAAATAGAAGTAGATATAAATCGTTAGGGTGTCAAGTTTCATTAAAAAAAACTAGTTTTCTTATCAAATATTGCTGATTATTCAGTCATTTGTAATCAGCAGGAATTGTTAATGGTATTTATCTGGTGTTGTATGTTGAAAGCTGAGAATATTGTTATTGATATCAACAGATATTCATGTTACCATGGTATTAAGAAAAAAACATGATTTATGTCATGAAATATTTTCCTATTATTTCTTTTTCTATAGATATTAACATGTATACTTAATAACTGAAGCATTTACATAACAATATAAATAAAACAGTTGCTGTTAATATTACAAGGAGATCTGAGCTGTGATATTAGCTGTTTATAGATTATTTTAGCGTTTTTTTTAGATATTAAAATCTGCTTAACATCTTCTCTGTATCAAGTTATTTACATGTGTTTATTTAACTTATGCATGAATCTGAAAGGTGATGAATTCCTAAGTTATTTTTCATGCCATTAATGCTATCTGAATATGTCAATTTTTTCCTCTTTTATTGCTGCAGTGTTCATTTTATGGTTGTTGCGATCAACCCATGTGGTGTTAGGGAACATTTTTACCTTATTGTTTAACAACCAGAAAGATCTCACAAGATTGCCATCGATGACCCAAACATTGTAATTTTGACCTAATTTCTATTTTGATAGGAGAGGAAAGAAATCTGTCATGTTTGTTAATTTCTCAGTTGATACTATCTGACTGTTCAGATAAGACTGGTTTGTTGAACAATCTCACAAATATACAGTTTTTAACACACCATCTTTAATTTCCTCCTTTATTATCTGTTGAATAAATTGAATTTCTTTTCTATTTACAGCCAAACAACCCAAAATAAAAACAATAAAAGACCAAAAAAAGAAAGAAGGAGGCAAGGTTAAATTTAGATGTTCTGTAAAGGCGAAACCACGAGTTATCAAGTATACATGGTATAAAGACGGTGTAGAACTTAAAAGGCGGAAAGGTCTCACTATGAAATCGGGAAAGTAAGTGTACAAGTATTCAAATGACGAAGAATAAGCTAGATTAAAAGGAAGCCCCCTGATTTCTCAGGACGCCTTGAACATAAATGGGTTTAAATTTTAAATATATATATCAGTCATCAAAATGTGACAATTAAGCCCATTTAACTTTTCTGAAAATTTTAAGTCCAGATATTGAACTGTTTAGAAATGATCACTACTAGATTTCCATCAAGAGTTTATGTAAATCATTTAAATATTTTATTCTTCATTGGTATATGTCACTGGATTTTCATAGAAAATCACTTATCACTATAACTTTGGCAAGTATATAGTTGTGATTATCAAAAGACATTCACACATTAATTATAGGGATCTATATATGACCAACCCCACATGAAAACTGAAAGTTTGTGTTTGTTTGAAAAAGTGTAACAGAGTCCAACCTTCAGGTAGCTGCACAGGACAAGGATGAAGTTTTTTTCAAGAGACTTTCACCCTCAAATTAACCAGTTTATTGCTTGTAGAGTTATGGCCCTTGTTTCATCTGATATGTATGAAATCCATATATACATTATTTAGATTAGTAAAACGAAGAATCCTGATGAATTTCAGCAATTTCCATTAGTTACTTCTAGAGTTATGGCCCGTGTTTCACTTTGTTGAACTCCTTGTCAATGCTCTAATGACAAAAGTTATCATCCAATCTGTATTAAATTTTAATGCATTATTGAGATTAGTAAAACTAAGAAGCCTATTGAATTTGAGTAATTTCTGTCAATAACTTCTACAGTTATGGTCCTTATTTTACTTTGTTGAACATTCAATCTGTATGAAATTGATATCAATGTCTTGTAAATGCTCCTATGACAACCCTTGTCGACTGCATGGACGATTTAGCCTCTGTGGGTGTATGTTTCGGTGTCTGGCAACCTATCTTTTTCACTAAAATATATCTTCGCGTTTTCCTTTAAAATTGTCAGCAAACTGTCCCTTTATGCAATCTTACAAAAGGTAATTTCCTTCTTAACATGTTATACTTGGCTGATAATGGTGCAATTCCTTAAGGTATTGTCTTAATTATCTTTAAATTAAGTGTAAATAGCTGTAAGAAGATCTTAGCTTGGTATGGCAAATGGAAAACAATTGTGATCTAAAGTAATCTGTAGTCATTACATTCATTGTTTCTTGATTGTTATCGTGGGTAAATTGAAACAATATTGTCTATGGAAACTTAAGTCAATTAACAACTTTTTAACTTTTTTAGGCCAATTTGTTACATCTGTAGCTATGGAATTAGTTTGTTGATCTTGGTGTGGTCTCACAATTCCATTCCCTCTTGATTTTTAAGAGTCTTTTTGCCAACAATGATGGCCATTATCGCCTACATCTCAATACCACAGACTTGAGATCATGCGAAAGCAATTGTTACCGCCAAAACATCTCATTAAGTAATGTCATGGTGGCTATATTCAGATAGTTAAATACTTCAACATAGTGAAAAAAAATGATGTAAGAATACATAGAAATTATGAAGTTGATGATTGCACTAGCATTATTTTCAGTGTAGTTTTATTCTGGAACTGATCAAGACACAGTGTATAATATAATTAATGTTTCAGTATATATTAGAATACAATAAAAATTGCTAGCTATGTAATCTTTCCAAACCCCACAATACACTGCTTTATACACCTAGAGCTATAGTTGGAACTTGGCTTCAGAAGCAAAATCATTGTATTATAAAAAAAATGTCATTTCATTTTTTTGAATCGCTTTAAAATCTGTATGGAGGGTGGAAACCCTACTTTAAAGAAACTTGTACTTATTGAAATGTTAAATGTCAAATTTAAGTATGGCAGCGCTTTTGGAACCAGGTTAAAAAATAAACACCTTATAAATAATTGCTGAATGTCAAATACTTATTCGATTTAAAATTTTAATATTTATAAATAAATGGTCATGAAATTTTTAAATGAAGAAATTCCAAATCCTGAAGTTGCAGACACCCTTAAGTGTTTTAATTTCTAGCAATACTTTGTGTATATATAGATACTTATATGTAACCCAGTAAATATTGATTGTTTGATATGTCTACATGCCGATTTTTATTGCCAATAGCAGACATTTGTGTTAATTTATTGTTACAGACCTCAAAGTACTTGTATTACACTTTCTTCTTTTCATGTGTGATTTATCGGTAGTGTTTTCTTATTACATAAGAATATTAATAAGCTTGTAAAATAATTACTTTTCTCCAATGTCCTCATTGCTCCTATTTTTTGTGGAACTATTTTTAGAATATTACATTTGAAACTATGTACAGATGTCTTTAGTCTACTTTATTATATGTTAAAGGAGAAGTTCCAGATACATTTTGCTGAACAAAATTTGTTAATTCGATTCTTATAGTACTTTGCAACTATAGGAAGCTCTGTGGTATATAATGAAAGAAATACAAACTTCCAGTTTTTATTTTTCACTAACGGCTAAAACACAGTATTTGTGACAAAAGTGTCTGATCAGAGTTAAAAGATAAATTGTCTTGCAATTCTAAGTATCAGTAGTTCAAAAATTTATCCTTTTTTCACTTCAGTTCACTTCAGCAACTGTTGCAAATACACTTTTGTGAAGCTTTTTAAGCATGGGTCACTTTATGGTTACAGACACTATTCAAATGAATAAAAAATATTTTAGATTTTCAGGGAAGATAAATGGGCTATATCATTTGATACATACTTAAACCACCGTTGTTTAAGGTGCTGTACGTCACATTTTGCCTATTGAATTTACATACTTAAACCCATTGTTTACTAGGTGATTTACATATTATTTACTAGGTTTCCTGTGAAATCTGTGACTTCCACTTTAATAAATTCTGATGATATTTCCATACCAGACATTAAACTATTTTTGGCATCAAATCAAAGTTCATAAAACTGATAAAATTGACTCTTTCAGAAATGTACCTTCAGACATGCATGTGTGGGAAATTGACACAGAACATGTACCATTCATGTTGCAGTTATCTTGGAAAGTTCATTTTATATAATATCAAATATGATTAAAAGCAAATATTTGAACAACATTTTAATGATGGGCCACCCAATGTCTACAAACCTTAAAAATTACCCTGGTACATATGTTATTCTCCCTAAAAAAATCTCTTCTTCAGTGATGTTATTTTAACTTCGCTTTAAAATTACTTTTTGGGGTTAATAGTTACAGATGTTACCACACAGTAGAGATGGAAATTTCCGTTCTAATCAAAAATATTTCTATTCTTTTGCTAAAAAGTTACCGGTAGATAAACTTATATACTCTTTTACCTGTGCGTCTAAAATACCAACCAACACCTACGCATACATGTATGGGAATTAATTAAGTACAAGTTAATTTCATGAATATGGCTGATCTGTATCAGAGAAGACAAACATAAACATTGACATGTGAACAGGAAGAATCAAGATTTCCTGTTAAAATACTCTAAGGAACTCATTTCCATACCAAAAATATACAATAACAGCTTTATACATCAACAGAGGTTTGGAGATAATTTGAGTGATATTTCTTCTCTGTTGTATGAGTGGCAGATTTGGGATCATACTACCCCCCTCCATCCATCCAATTCTTTACAAAAAAATAAGGTTCTTTTTACTCTTAATCAATTAAATATGACCTCCAACTTCTTAGAATTCCAGTGTTTTAAGGGATTTGACCCACTTTACCCTGACAAAGGCTTATTTTCACCCTCACCACCTCCCTCCCTTTTTTCGAAAGGGTAAGTACAATAGATATAAACTGTCTTTTTAATATTGTATAAGCTGTTTGGATCTACCAGAAAGTTTTTCTTTAATGCACTTTAATCACTATCAGAAAACAATTGAAATGAAAAGTTGTATTATCGCAATATTTTCTTTCCATATTCCAGGAAGTCTTCTAGTTTACAAATAAGAAATTTAAAAAAAAGTGATGCTGGTCAGTATAAGTGTATTGCTAGCAATGCAGTTGGAGAAGATGAAAAATTTGTTCGTCTTGAAGGTAAGAATTTTGTAATGATTTACCTGTCCTTACAGATGCATTGTGTTTTACTTATTGCAACAGTTTTACAATATTTTCTGATCACTCTTCAAATCAGAGTTCTTCTTTTTTTAAATTTTCAGGGATTGTTCATTGCAAAGTAACACAATGATATAAAGTGTTGTCAATAGAATTCTTTTAAAGTGGGTGGGAATTTTTCATTGGGGCATAAGTCAGAATTTTTCATTCACATTTTTACTGTTAAGCCTACAGAAGACTGATACAGGAAAAAGTTCTCAATGGAAGTTTTTAAAAACCCCGGTGGGATTGTCCTTTTGGACATTGGTAGGAAACTTGTTGAATTTTAGAACAATTTTCGATTAGAAATTTCGTAGTTAATTCCTTGTGTATTGTTAAGGTAGGGTTGACAATGGAATTTGATCAAACCTTGTGAGTTTGTTTATTGGGGCTTAATGAAGAACCCTATCAAATTATAAGAGGGACCTGACAAGCCCCAGTCTATGTTTGAACCCACCCCACCCTCCAAATTACTTCATTATCCATATTCTAAAAGTATTTTAATAAAGAAACACAATCATGAGTTCATTAACCTGGTTAGTACAAACACATATTACCTTATGTCTTAGAATGCATGTGCTAATTAAATTCATCAAAGCTTGTCTGTTTAAAATGGTTTTAAAAGCAAAGTGGAATAAATTAGACTTTTTTAAATTTGTTTAATGACTGGTTGAAAAAAGCTTATTCTAATAGACATTGAAATACAGCCAAGATTGGCAGACATACCACCATTACTAATCATTGTCATACGAAATAATTATAATACAGTGTATAACTTATTACTCTGCACATATAGTCCTTTTGTATGCTATGAGAAATTGGCTATCATGAGAAATTGGCTATCATCAACATTAGAGAATCTCAAACTTTCACATTTTTAAGTCACAGCTAAAAACTTATTTATTTAAACACTCTTATACACATTAGAAACCGACTACTTTGTGTTTGTTTTAATTGTAGATAGACTCGTAAATGAATGGATTTCAGTGCACTATACATTTATTTATTTTTTGGTACTGCATACTAGCTGTTATGAGGAAATATATCCTTGTTGGTGCCAAATTTACCAAATGTATATAAAAAATATATATTCTCAACTATAAGCTAAATTGATTCTTAACAAGGATAACTGAATCTATAGATTGTCATGATGACGTAATTCTGACTATTACATGTAAATAAGTACATAACTAATAGTATTAGTATTAGTACATTTTGCTTTTCTCTAAAGAAAAACCCTGGCATGATTCTTTCTTGTTGTTTTCATGGATCTTAGTCTTTCTTACCATCAAAATCAGATGAAGATCAATATGTTTTAACCAAAGGACATCTTTGAGAAGGTTTACCATTCATCAGATACTCTTTAAAACTATCGACCCTAGCTAGATTTGTGTTTATTCGTGAAATGGCCATTCATCCTGAAAACAAGAACCATGAAATATGATTAGAAGAGAAGGAAGGAGTCATTTTTTGTTTCTCATTAAAGGTTAAATGATGAGATATAATTTACGTTTAGCGGATCTGAAGACAGGAATTCAGGAATTTAGTATCAATCAAAATGACCTTTTACGATTTTTCAATGCAACTCTATTGAAATTAATCAAACGTATTAAAAAGCGTATTTAATCAATCATTATAATGTATGGAGAAGCAGAGTAGCTCCTTGTTACTACAATGCCTCATGGGACATTTTCTTTAAGGAGATTTATTAGTTCAAAGCTACTTAAGTGTAGTTGGGGAAAAGAAAGCCTTTTCCTATATTTGGTAATGGTGGTTATAAGCAGCTTATTTGTGCTTAATGCTTCTATTGTAAATTATTCTTGACTTTCTAAGTGAGGATTTAATTAAATCCTCCCCTGCATGGTTTGGATATTTTTCTACAAGTTATCTTTAAGCATAGGGTGATGACCCATCACATAACTAAAGATTCAATCCTGGGTTCTTAGTTTGATTCTCAGAACCTTTGGAACTTCCAAGTCTGGTTTGGGGAGAACGCTTGCAAGGCTGGCAGGAAAAGTGTTCAGAACTCCAATGTACACTTTATTAGTCAATATAAAAGATCTTGTGACAGTTGGAACTTGGAATTTGAAAAAGATGAGATGGTATCCACCCTGTTGGGAACACATACCTATTATCACAGAAAATGACCCAGGTCATTGTTAACAAGTGTTTTTAAATCCCATTCCATTCTATTTACAATGTGTGTTATTGAAGCAAACATGATTATTTGAATGGTGGGAAAACATGAAAGTTAAATTATTAAAGTTGTTTATAAATTTATAATGCTGAAGAGAACAGGTGGTTTTAATTGGGAAGAGAGAAATCACTGCTATCAGCTGATAAACTATCTAACCTTGTATGTTAAAGGCAACCCAGGTACAAATACACGAACATATTAACCTTACAGCTAATTGAAGGCTATATCACATAAATATTGTTAACATATGATGTAAATATTTAATGATTTCTGATTGGCATCATGATTATAAGACAGTTGTCTTATGTTCCACTGATTTATCCAAACAAATAACAAAGTAACGAAAAGCTATAAATCACAGCATTAATCACAGTTGGTTCCATTCATATTGAACACTATTATATTGATTGATTGAAGTTGTGTATGATGACATGGGGTTAGTCACCACCTAGGTTACGTAAAAGTAACAAGATTGGAAAACCTTGGTTATTGTTATGAAACTAAAGTCGATGTTAAGACGAAGATTAATGCAAGTAATTGGTTTTAAAATAAATAAAATCCAGACGCATATTTTCTTTGGCGAGTCGTGAGGCGGTGCACGTAAAGTTGGAAGGGATTCAGAAGCTGAGTCATGCCAATTGAAGCGGTTTAAGGAAAACAGATCGCAGAAGGCCACATTACCGTGAATTGGCCTTAAAGTATAATCACACACAGATCAAAGTCGAAAAGTGCAGCAATGAATAGGAGTCAAGAGATTTACTTGAATACAAAACAGATGCTTCTCTGGTTTTCTCTTAGTTAATACTTCTATCAATTGTTAACATACAGTCATTATAGGTCGTCGATCTTATAAATAAACACCTGAAATTGGGTTAGAAAGGGCTTCAGGTAAATAGGTAGTATATATAATAGACTGTACATCTCTATTGGTACTATATGATTTGTCCTTCTGGGTACTCTCTGTTCAATTAAATCTAAGATTTACACTACAGTACAAGATCTTTATGAGGCCAAACATGACCTCTGATTTGATGAAGATTTAAAGTAAAATTTCCCTCATAGCTCACTGCCTGGCATGTCACTTTAAACACAAATTTATATATTTCAGGAAAAGAAACATTTGCTTATTATTTGGTTTAGAAAATATTTAAGGTTTTAATAAAAGGTTATAATTATATTGAATTATAAAGTCTAAAAGGATGGGGAAACTTGTTATGGCATTTATGATCTTTTGGTTATATGATTCTTTGAAGAGGCATTACAAGAATAATATCATATTCAAAATAACTCTAGACATGATTAATTATTGAAATTCTTAAGAACTGGTCTATTTAGATCAAAACATATTGTTCACAGGCATCTGTTGAATGTCAGAAAACCACTATAAACGTTAAAATTTATATAACATTGATGGATTGAGAGATATGTCTCAAATTTTGAATGCAATCTAATTTGAATACGTCTGATATAACTGTGTAATGAAATCACAGTGTGTCAACCAGCGACGATCTCAAATGTCTCTTTAAAAGATATTGTCCTATAATCAGTTTTAGTTTTTAAAATAATTAATAGAATTTGAGGCATTGCATCAAGTAAAATATTAAATCAGTAATTCCACTCTATAAAATATTCAGAAAAGCAAAGCTTACCTGTATAACACTATGACCAGACATGACTTGACATATTTACTAGACTATAAAAAAGAATTAGCCTATGTGACCAATAAATGTATACACAGCCTTCATTTTCTTTTCAACAATAAGTTGATATCAAACATTATTTGAAAGAAACTCTGGGGTAGTAAAGAAAATAAATATTCCATTGAATTATTCCTCCCTTGTAGGGGGGGGGGCAAATGGTTGGTGTGTGCGCACTGTATCATAAGGTCTGTCATTGAGTCAACTGGCGTGGTTTTGATTCCCCGGTTGTACATGACAAGGAGGAGGGTCGTCTGTCCAACCTCGTGGGTTTCCTCCGGGTCCCACTGCTAAAGACTCCTACGCGCAAGGGAATTATTGAAATAAAATTGAACCATGTGTTAGTCCCGAAATGACCTATTTGTGTCTAGTGGACGTTAAACACATTTCCCTCCCTCTCTCTCCACACTCGAAGATTGTTTAGTGAATTTACCGAAAGTAGTCCTTGTGATATTCGAGTATAAAATGAATTGACCAGAATTTATTGAACAATGCCAGTTGGGAGTAATTATTATAAATCACAGTCCCAGAAATAATTAATTAAAGTGGGCAAACTGTTCAATGGTTGAATTCATTAGTGAATATAGACTATTAAATCATATAGAAATCAGCTGAGAAACAGTTTTGTACTTTTGTATTTGGCATCCTGTAACCATGATATGAACCTTTTATTTGTAATCCACTTGTTGCTTTACAACACATTTAACATCCATATTAAATAACCCAGACAAATCTAGAATGTGTTTTAATTCGGTGACAGACATGTCAATGACACATTACCGACTTTGATGTTTTCCACACACCAATTCTTCAATCATTATAAGCTGATACAACAAGTTAACTCTTATTTACTTTAAGATGTAATGATATAGATGTTGGTAGGTAATTAGCCAGAAATATTTGCACAACATTTTGTAACTATTGTCGAGTCACAGTGCTAAATTGCAAATCCTACAGTTGGTTGACAAACAAAATAATGTGTTTCATTATATTACAGTCTCTGAAGGTCTTTTGAGGGATTTTTAATCCCTTGCAAATTACAGTTTTGT